GAGATTCACGGACAGATCTTCACACTCCTGAAACGAAGGAATGAACGAATTGTTTCCTGCAAAAGCCCCCTCCCCTTTCGCTCCTCCTTTATGAGAGGGGCCATTCACCATCCACCTGTGGCTTTACTCCCAATCCCTTTTATTAAACAAATGTGAATTCCTCTCATTCACATTCAGCCAAGCCCTGGCAAACAGTCTTTCAAAGGAGTATTTATGACCACAGACCTTATCTAGCTTGGAAAGCTGCCATGTAAATATTTTCCCAATGAGGTGCTGTGTAAGGAAAGACTGGACACAGAGTCTCCGAGATTCACGGACAGATCTTCACACTCCTGAAACAAACAAATGAATTCTGTCCTGCAAAAGCCCACTGTCAGCGTTCCAGGTATCATCCAGAATTAAATCAGGATCCAAGGCCAAGCTTTCATCAAAGTGCCAATTTAATAAGAGAGACATGTTGGCACATCTGTGGAAAACCCAAATCTGACACCTTCCTGGGTTTTCCACCCAGTTGAAAGTTCAAGACCTTGCCTCCGCACCCACAAGTCCATCACAGGGTCCAATCACATGGTGGGTGTGGCCAGTTCGACATCACTTTGTGTCGGGGGCTCCCGTGGCTGCCCAAGTGCTCGGCCAGTGAAAACAGGCTCTCGAGTTCCGTTTTCGGCTGCGATGGCCAACTGCAACCCGCACACAGCCCTCCTGAGCTCCATTTTTGCTGGCAGAGGCACTGTGGGTTGGTCCTTTGCTGTTTCCAGGGCAACCCCGCAGGTCAGATCGAAGCCTTGAGTTTGACACCCTTATGTTACCGCTTCAGGAATGTGCTGGGCAGAAGGTCTTTGGTTAAACTCAACCAACCATGTGTCTATGGGGATGCTCCGTCATCCAGGTCCTGGCTGTTCCAAAGGTGCTTTTTTCAAGAGGCGACTGGACTTCCTTGTTCTTTCTTTTGAAGACGTCTCATCCAAGAAGCTTCTTCAGCTCTGACTGGATGGTGTGGAAATGGAGGATTTATACGCCCTGCAGACAGCTGCTCATTGCATCCTTTTAGCGAGTTGTTGTGGCCAGTGGTGAAATTCAATTTTCTTTACTACCGGTTCTGCGGGTGTGGCTTGGTGGGCGTGGCTTGGTGGGCGTGCCACGGGAAGGATACTGCAAGATCTCCATTCCCGCCCTACTCTGGGGCCAGCCAGAAGTGGCATTTGCTGGTTCTTCTGAACTACTCAAAATTTCTGCTACCGGTTCTCCAGAACCCGTCAGAACCTGCTGGATTTCACCCCTGGTTGAGGCCACCTAGAGGTTTGTCAACCTCCATATCAACACAGATAAATCTCCAGGTGGCCTTAATGACTCTCTAAAAAGAATTCAGAGGACCAGCTGTCTGCAAGGAGCATCAATCCTTCCATTCCCCGCCATCCAGTCAGAGCTGAAGAAGCTTCTTGGATGAGAAGCGAAACGTCTTCAAAGAAAAACCAGAAAGTCCAGTTGCCTCTGGAAAAAAGCACCTTTGCGACAACCTGCTATAGACTTCTTCTATGGACCTCCCAACAGCCATCTCTTAAGGGCAAGAGTCTCCAAACCTGGCAACTTTAAGATTTGTGGACCTCGACATCCTGAATTCCTCATCCAGCCATGCTGCTTAGTCACCCCTTGCCAAGAAGGACATCTTCTTGAAAAGAAGCATTGCCATCTTCAGCCATAGTTCCATCTACCCACCCCGTGAGAGAAAGCTAACCCTGCCTCCTTGCTCTGCAGGATGAAGATCTGAAGTCCGAGGTCTACAAGCTCCGTCGGAAAGTGGCTGAACAGGAGAAGAAGTTGTTCAGCATGGCCAGGCGCTTGTATTCCACCAACCAACTCAAAGAGAACATGGAGAGGGTCATCATGGAGCAGTGTGAGTGGGGAGGTCTTCCATCTTCTCTGCTCTTTGTCCTGCTTCGGAGCTTTGCAGTGACCTCAAAAGGTTAAAAATAGACCAACCCCTGGTCTGACCTAATGCCATTCCCCTACTTTTTTGAACCCTACTTCCCCGCCCCCGCTCCCCAGCTCCAAGTAGCAAGCTAGATCTCAGTTGACGAAGCAAGTAGGAAGTTGACTAGCCATAAGGAATGTTTAGTGGGAAGTTCTCTTGAGACAATGTCCAGTTGGGAATCTGAGACGTGTCTGGAGTAGTTTTAACAGAATTGATGAATAACCGAGTTGGAAGGGACCTTGGAGGCCTTCTAGCCCAACCTCCTGCTCGAACAGGAGACCCTGTTAATGTTTGTGTTCCAAATAGCATCCAATATAAAAATTGGAGTCCGAGGCAAACACTTCCTCAAAGTTCCAATTGATTAAGAGAGCCACGTTGGCACATCTGGGAAAACCCGAATCTGAAGGCTTCCCGGTTTTCCCCACCTAGTTGAAAGTTCAAGATCTTGCCCCCACACCCACAAATCCATCACATGGTCCAATCTCCCACTGCCATGAAGACAGATTCCTCCCATCCTGTTTCCGGCTAGGTGCAGAGACAAAGGATGACCTTGAGTTTCTAAGAAGGATGTTGTTATGGCTACACATCACCCCACTCCATATAATCCCCCCCTCCCATTTTACCACAGTAGAAAGTGTGGTGGGCCTGAAGGCCAGAAAGAAAAAGATGGCTTGCAGGCATGACAATACAATTTCCAACAGGCAGCTGTCCAGTCTTTTCTTAAAAACCTCCAGTAATGGAACACGCAGAATTTCTGGAGGCAAGCTGTTCTACTGGTTTATTGTCCTCACTCTTGGGAAATTTCTCCTTATTTCACGGGCTTAACTTCCAAGCCACTTTGTCTTAACTTACTGGTAGTCCTTGGCTTATGACCACAATTGAGGCCGGAATTCCAGTCACAAATCATTGCGGGCATAAGTCAAGGCACTACATGGCTGGACCCAACTTTTTCAACCATTTTTTNCTCCAGAGGGTCAACGTCATTGCCCAGAGGATCATGGGTTGCCCTCTCCCCTCTTTGGAAGAGCTTTAGAGCTCCCGCTGCCTTAAGAAAGTTCAAAACATTCTTAAAGATCCATCTCATTCTGTGCATCTTTTCTTTTTTTGAACTATTACCATCTGGCAGCCGGTACAGGACAATAAAAACCAGGACAAATAGGTTGAAAAACAGCTTCTATCTCAGAGCAGCATCTATATTCTACTGTGTTTAGTGCAATATTAATGCAATATCGGGTTTTCAATTCAATTGTACAGAATGCGAAGGAGTTGCATTTGTGTTTTATTTTCATAGTTATTATGTACACAGAAGATGGCATTTAATTTCGTTGTATGAGGTGCAATGACAGCAAACAAATTAACTAACTGCAGCCTCCATTGTGACCAAAATTACCCACCGTTAAGTGAGACAGTTGTTAAGCAAAGTTCTTCCCAATTTTACGACTTTTTTACACGCTCATTAAGCAAATTGGCGGTTGTTAAGTGAACCACACAGTCGTTAAATGAATCTGGCTTCTCTTATTAACTTTGCTCTTTGGTTGTGAAGGTCGTGGGATCACATGACCTTGGAATCCTACACCCTGGTTGCCAAGCACCTAAATTTTAAGCATCAAGACATTGCCACAATGGTCATAAGTGTGAGGACCAGTTGTAAATCTCTCCTCTCCCCCCCAATAAGTTCGAAAGGTTGTAAGTGGAGGAATATCGTATTGTATGATCAAACTGGAGTTTAATTTTAGATCCACGTTAAAATTCCCACTCTTGTCTTTCCAGAGACATCAGATTAATTTTACTCCTGTCACTAAATTATAGACACTTGGTGCTAATCAGAAATTGCTATCAATTTGCAACTTTCAGAATTAATTGCGCCGATCCCTCCTTTTGTGAGCACACCTGAAACATCTGCATGGCTATTTATAGCAAAACTCTCTCTTGCTTTGTAATTGTGATTTCTACCCACCTGTCCTTTTGTGTGTTTCTTTTATGGGGGGGGTGGGGGGAAGAAGCAGAGGGAGATTGAGATATATTTTGGTGCCTTCTACAATTTTTGTTTACTCATTTATTAGTTTGTCAAACATGTACAAGATAACAGGTATCAGTATAAACATGGACATGAACAAAGGAAATGAGTACAAATAAATGGGGACAGTAGGAGAGGGATGATGCGCTTAGGCACGTCCCCTTTACAGCTCTTAGGAATGGGGTGAGGTCCATGCTAGACAGTTTGAGGTTGAGGCTATGGGGGTTTGAGGATGTAACTACGGAGTCAGGTAGAGCATTCCAGGCGTTGACCACTCTGGCTGAAGTTGTATTTTCCGCAATCGAGTTTGGAGCAGTTGATCTTGAGTTTCTATTGATAGTTTGCCTGTGTATTATTGCGGTTGAAGCTGAAGTAGTCATTGACAGGTAGGACCTTGTAGCAGATAATTTTGTCTACTATGCTTAGGTCAGACCTTAGTCGGCGTAGTTCTAGGTTGTCCAAGCCCAAAATTTTGAGCCTGGATGGCATAAGGGATTCTGTTGTGAGCAGAGGAGTGGAGGACTCTTCTTGTGAAATACCTCTGGACTCGCTCGATTGTATTAATATCCAATATACAATGTGGATTCCAGGCAGACAAGTTGTATTCAAGGATTGGTCTGGCAAAGGTTTTGTATGCCTGAGTTTGCAGTACAATGTTACCGGAGAAGAAGCTTCGCAAAATTAGGTTAACAACTCTTAATGCCTTTTTAGCAATGCTGTTACAGGGAGCTCTTCCAGTTCTCCTTGGCCTTTTGTTCCCAATAAAAAAAAATACATCTGCCGTTGTGGTAACACAGCCTGGAGAGCGGGTTTTCTTAGTAACCAAAGTTACGATGGCACTGGCCGTTTTTCACTCTTACGACCCGTGCAGCATCCCCGCAGGATCAAAACGCAAAGCCTTGGCAACTGATTCGTATTTATGATCCTCCTGGTGTCCCTTTTGTGACTTGTCAAGCAAAGGGAAGCCAGATTCACTTAACGACTGGGTGAAATACTAGCTTAGCAACAGCAGTGACTCACTTAATAACTCACTTAACGAATGTCTCACTTAGCAACAGGAATTTGAGGCTCAATGATGATTATTTGTCATTCACTCTTAATGGAATAGAATAGAAATTGGAATAGAATAGAATTAGAATAGAAGAGTAGAGAAGAGAAATAGAAGAAGGGAGAGAATAGAATTAGAATAGAATAGAATTAGAAGAGTACAATAGAGTAGAAGAGAAGTGAAATAGAAGAGAGGAGAAGAAAAGAGAAGGGAGAGAACAGAATTACAATAGAATAGAATTAGAAGAGTACAGTAGAGTAGAAAAGAAGAGAAAAGAAATAGAAGAGGAGAAGAGAAGAGAGAATAGAATAGAAATTGGGTAGAGTAGAATAGAATAAAATGGAATAGAATAGAATAATAGAATAGAATGGAATAGAAATTGGAATAGAGTAGAATGGAATGGAATAGAATCTGGAAGGGACCTTGGAGGTCTTCTAGTCCAACCCCCTGCTCAAGCAGGAGAACCTATACCATATTTCAGATTGTCTTGTCTGCACGATCCTAGTTTCAAAACGGTAAAAAAGCCCATTCGTAATGAAAACCGGTAATGAACCAAGGCTGGGTAATTGCCAAAGAAATCAGGGACGGCATTTTTACAGGGGGAGAAAAAGTTAGCAGGGAGAACTTTTTTCTTCTTCCCCTGCAAAATTTTGACCTAATTAATTTAAACAGCGCCGTGGAAATCGCTCCCACCCCCCTCACCCCAGTTAAAAGCCCTGGGGGAAACAAAATCTCTAAGAAGAGCAATATTTTAATGACTCTAACCTAGAATCGTTTGACGTGGAAAACCAGAAAGGAACGGTTCGGGGAAATGAAACTAGGTTTGTGATCAGACTCTTGAGATGGAATAATTATATATATATATATATATATGCAGGTCTTGGCGTATTTAGGTCTAGTATATATGTATCTACATACATACCACAGGAATTGCAACACTTAAGATTCATCTGAGCCAAGGCACAGAATGGCACAGGAGCCACGAGAGAAAATGCCACCAAAATTTGCCCTTTAAATATCTCCGCCTGAAAATGCAAATTGCTACCTGAAGAGATTAGGTATTAAAATATCCAACCCATTTTTTATGCCCCTGGAAATTAAAAGCCAGGCGCTTCGTGATTAATCAAATAATAACCATCCTCAGGTGTGTGTGGGGGGGGGGGGTGTCAGGAAAATATTTCTGATTAGGGGGAAATGAAAGCATTGCACAAAATAATTCAGTTCCTTGCTAATGTATTGATGGGTTGAGTTAAGGGCCCAGATGGTTATGGATGCTCCATCATTGGAAGTTTGCAGGAGGAGACTGGGCAACCATCGCTTGGACTGCTATAGGGCCCGGGTCTCCCAATTTGGCAGATTTAAGGCTTGTGACTATTATAACATTTTATGTTATAAAATGTTTTATATTATTTTATTATAGCTCTTCTGTTCTATTCTACTCCTACTCTACTCTACCCCACTCCACTCTATTCCAGTGTTTCTCAACCTTGGCAACTTGAAGATGTCCGGACTTCAACTCCCAGAATTCCCCAGCCAGCATTCGCTNTCTGGCAACTCTGTGCATGCGCACACTGGGAACAGGCTCCAGCTGTTCTTCTGCCTCACTGATGTCTGACTCTGAAGGCAGCTGATAATTGTCGGACGGCCCTGGCCCCCTCTCTGCCTCTGACGCAGAGCCCATGTCCAAGCCTTCTCCAGACTCCAGGACTTCCTCCCCAACCTCCTCATTGTCCGAAACTGCTGCCAACTCCGATGGCCACTGGTGGACCACAACACTTTTTTCCCTCCAAGGCCTTAATATCCTTACATTTCTACCCCATTACTCTGGCGTTTTCTACCCCAATATCGTCTGGATATCCAGACTGCAGTGCTCTCTCTCAAGTCCCGAGGATGGTAAATTTTGGTACCCATCATTTTTTTTCTTCTTCTCCAGCTTTCTCTGGCTGGGCCAACCTCAGTGCTTAGCTTTGCTCCACGAAAAGGGGGTGGCCTTTTACATGTCAGGAAGATGGATCTGCTGTCCAGAATGACAGTGAAGTCCGAGTTAATGTAGGCAGGCGGAGTTTTTGGAGCGCGGTAATCTTGGAGGTGGGAGCGTGGGAACGTAGACACCTGTGCGCCGAATAAAAGCTTTTGCGGTTCTTTGGTTCGGGTTTCCGTCACCCAAGAGGACCCTGTAATGAAAAAGGAAAGAAAGAAAATGGAGATGTTGGTTTGCACCCAACAACTTGGTCTCCTCCTTTCCATCCCATCATTGCAGGCTCTTCCATCTTTCCTTCTGGAGCTGAGATGGAGGAGTT